TGCTTCGAATGACGTTTGAGTTTCCGTAAAAACTTTGCAACGTATTTAGGTATCTAATAGTTGTATTGACCTTGTGTGTAATAAATTTACTAAATATTAAGATATTAAAAAATCTAGAAAATAATAATATAATACTCTAGGTTTATATATTGAAAGTGGAATTACTATATTTATTATATTTATTATTTATATTCAGTTTAAGAAAGAGAGACAGAGAGTGATAATTTTATTTGGCCTATCTAAAATTATATTATTAAATATACAGGGTGTCAGACTCGTTTGTAGCCAAACTAAAAATTACGGTAGATTGGGTTAAACTGAGAAGAGAAGTCATGTATCGTTGTGCAAAATTAGCAATAGTAATCGCGTAATTGATAAAAACGTCTGGCCGAATGAGCGCACAAGCAGCGGAAGGCCGGACCTGGCAGGCATGCAAAATGGTTTATTTGTTTATATCTCCTAGGGCGCGGTAGCGAGAGGTGGAGTCACGTCGTTCGTCACTCGATGCGTGAAATTGCAACATGTTTGTGCAATTTAGTGAATCAGATCGTATTCGTATATACATAAACTACTCGAAGCGTTAGCTTTACTCTTGTTCGTTTTCTTTTACAAACGGTAAAAACATTTTTTACAAACAGTGTTGTCATTTGTCTCATTTGTACCGTACTTATCAGAAATAAGTGACTTTGTACTACTAGGGACCAAGAAATTTATTGCATGTTAACTATCACCATATAATGTTATCTACGCATCGATGATATCTAAGTTTCCGCACTGATAGAAAAAAATGGTTGCAGTTACCACAATCTCACTATAATTTATAATTATTTCAGGAGCCAACCACAATTTTATAGTTCTTCCAACTACGTAAGTTATTTTTGAACTAACGATGTATTATAGTTCTCATAGATGCAATATAATTTATCTTCTTTTTCACTATTTACCTTATGATATCTCGATAACTGTTTGCCGGAGGAAAAGTACAAGGACTTTTTTTACTTGATTCGGTCTCAGGAATATGCTGTTGCAATAGTGCTTCAATTATTGCTTGTGTATTGTAATACACAAAATTTACATACTACTACCAATTTTATTAATTCGAATTTAGAGTATAAACTGTATGTTTGTTTTCTGTTTCTGTACTGGTGAACTAGTAAGTACAGTAAGCTAGAATAAGAAAAATATACTTGTCTTACTCTAATTTATTGCACTAGTTCACCAGTGTAGCAACAGGAAAACAAGCCTTATGAAAATTCTAATGTTGGCTTCTAGAAGTGAGAAAACGCACACCTGCCATGTTGAGATCGTTTTACGCCAAAACGCCGAAAAGGGCGTAAAACAGGATATGATATATGTATAATCGTGGTCAGCCCTATTGTAGATAAACGCGTCACCGAGAAATGAAACAGTAAATATTTTTCGAGAATTTGTTTATAACATACATACAAAAAACTATGCAGTAGAATGCAGAATTCGTAGTTCTCCGAACACTAATAAATCAACCTTCAGTTACTGTTGTTTGCAATTGAAAAAGAAATGAACAAAAAAGAATGTAGGAGACATATCGTAATTGCTTTGTTGTCACACAGTAATACATATGATATTATAACTATACGAATTACATGTATAATTATCATTTCAACTTCAGCAGCTCTAGTCTTTCTCAGAACGCGCGAATTAGTGTAATTAAAAAAAAACGTTTTCCAGTAGATATCTGTCATACTTTTCGAACCATCTAATGTGCCACAAAATAGGTACTATTTATGGACGTAAAAACTCAATAATCGGAGATTCCCATATAAGTTAAAGACGATTTAATTGACATTACGACATCACGATAATAATAGCTGGACATAATATTGACAATTGACAACGTGTCGTTTTGCGTGTCGCTCCGCTGAGAACTGTCGTGTCTTGCGAAGAAATACGTTCGTTTAAAGAGCACGTAAATCATACTCGCGTGCATGCACAATATATATAACAGACGACCTATTGTTAAACTATAAAAAATATCTGTGAAAAACATCTATAATGAACGACTCAGAGTATAGGATTATATAAGTAAAGATTTATCCTCGCGTCAGTCCCCCTAAATTTCTACGTGCAAGGACGAATTCTTCGACGTCCGATTGTTTTTTTCCAACTAATCCGCAGACGGCGACTATAAATACATCGCTGTGTTAATTTCCGTATTTGTTATATGTGTGTGCATACACACTGAAGCGAACGTGTGTTCTTATGCGAAGGAAAACGTCCCAGGGAGAAATAACTTCGTCGATCGATGTCGAAACGATGTCGAATTGATATCAAATTTGATAATGTCGATGTCGATTCGACATCATTTCGATGAATCATTTCTCACCGGAGTATGAATTAACATAGATCATCCGATATTTATTCGTCACGCGTCTTCGTAATCGCTCACTGTCTCACATCTGTCTGGTACACGCATAAGAAATTTCCACGCTGGACATGTATGATGCGCGATGTATCGTTAAAATTATGTTATCGTCATTGCGTCGCAATTTTTCACGAATCCGGTGTGATGACGGCATCGGAATCAAATATCTCTTATCCTTATCTAATTGGCCAGGCTCCGTTTTCTTCAAGACAAAGTCACGCGCAGTTCGAGAGGAGTCACACGCCGACAAACAAATCTTTAAACGCACCACATTCGAATGTGTATTTTCTTCTTTGCAGACATTGATCTTACCGTAATCAGATTACTCGGAAATTTAATTAATCTGCTTCATTCAAATTGTTGAAGAATCATTAATCATTATAGCCTCCATTGCTGTTTTATAAAACACATATCTTTTATCTACATTATTGTATATCTATTACACTTTTTATACCTTTTTTAAGATCGCATACTCCGTTTGCAGCTCTTTTATTTAACTTTCAGCTGCCAGTTGTTTCATTCGGAATACTGTTACGAACTCGTTTGCGTTTTTCTCTGTTTGTGTAGACATGACATACAAATTCAATTAACACGTAAAAGAAATATTGTGTTGTAGGCTGATGCAATCGAATAATTGATATGCAAGATGTACCTGAATAAATGATGTTTACACGACCATTATTTTTAATAGCTTATACGATAAATATGTAAGTGGACGTGTATATAAAATCGCCCACTGTGCGAAGCGTTAGCCTGCATTTAAATCTATTTCTGCAATAATGAATACTTTTTTTCGACGTATGCGTACAGATAAACATAC